AAGTGGACAGGGGTTGGAGTGCATGGTTTTCAAAGTCATATTACAATTAAAAACACAAGACAATTGTAAAACTAGAAAGTAGTATCTTAAATTTTGTAACTATTATACATATGTTATTAAACGTGAGAGGGGATTGCATATTTATGAAAAAAAATAGTACTATTTATCTAGCCAAACTTTATGATAATTTTACCGTATGTTAAAGTGTCATTGAGCCTACTGGCAGTCTTTGTAAAGTTAAGGACCCTTATTTTTTTACAGTCCAATTTTCATGGTTAAAAAAAAATATAGGCTCGAAGGGATTTGATTTGTGATTGAATAAGTGGGTTTGTTCTATTATTTTGAAATTTTAACTTTTCAATGTGGATATAAATTCGATAGTCTCTTCTTACCACTAAACAACAAAAATTAAAACCCCCAGTGAGGTAAATGATTTTACATCAATTTTTTAAGAAAGAAATATACTATAAGAATTTGTAAAACAGTTTTCCCAGGCTATGCTAATTATAAAACACAAAATGTTCACGAATGTTTTAACATAACCTGCCTTATTTTTTTTTTTCATATCTTCAAATTTATCCCTTTATATGTACACAAAAATTCAATGCAAAACATAAAGAAATGGACCTTCCCAACAGAAATGTCAATTTTCCCTAAGTCTTCCATGTTTTCATTTGTTTGTAACAAATTAAACGGAATCTTTAGTAAAAACAATACAGGATGTTAAAAAATACCAAACTTTCTTAAATATAGCCTTATTGTACTCCTAAAGGAACTTTTAGAATCATCCAGATTAAGATAATCTAATTCATACTGAGAGCAGTCAAAGAGAAAAGCAACATGCACCCAGATCAGTTTTGTTGTTAAGGTAATTATACCATCCCACTCCCCTTATGTAGCTTATTATGAGTGACTTACAAGTATAGAGATGTGACAAAACATAAAAGAGTTACAGTACCATACATTCAATAATGAACTATTCATTTTCAAAAAAGAAAGAAACTGTTTGAAGAACATATTAAAGCTCCAGTTAACTAAATATGTGCTCATATTTTGGATGAATACAATCTTTTGAAAATTTCAACAATTTTCATATACTAGTGTTGAGTATCCCTAATCCAATTTTAGTCAAGTTATTCATTTATGTTCAATTATTAGAAGGCAAATTATTACTACATTTATATACGTGGTTTTCCATCAAACAAGTATAAAAATACAGGGAGCCCAAGCTCAACTCTGCAGAATCATTTATGAGACCCCAACATTTTGAAAATTGTATCTAATGTCATTTTCCTGGATAAATGTATTTCAGCACTACTCAATCAAAACTATGAAAAAATAATAATAAATCATAATGCTAATATCATTTGCAGGCCTCTTAAGTATCAGGTGCACAGCTAATGACACAAAACATTTAATTTAGAAGACGTTCTTATTTTATCAAGTGTATAAGGTGAAGATAACGAACAGTGATCAATCACAGAAATCCGAAATTCCAATAAAGAATGTGAATCGTTAACAGGACAAAAACGGACCACTGACACACCAGAAGTGAAATCAGGTACCTACATGTAGTAATGAAAAGCATTCCCTGTCGCCCAGTCACACCCTCCGTGAGCCCTTTGTCTTAGTAATGTAACTCATTATGGAATGAATGGTTTAATAATTTGTATTAAGAGGTAAATTGTGAGCACTTTGTATTGTCTATAGATAAACGGAGTAATCCGTATTCAAAATATTATAAGAACAAGGCTTAAAAATTTGTAGAAATATACTACATGTAGTTAAAATACGACCAAAGATATGATTAATATTACGTTCAAGATCTTTGTCAGAGATTGCAAATAAAATAAAAAACGTAAGGCTTAAATTGAAATGTGTACTGAATCATGTATGTCATAAACACTTTCTTTGCGGAATTTTTGCACAAGTGTATTGGAAAATTGTCTCTTTCTCTCTTTATATCTGTTCCGTTATCCATATATTTGTTTGCTCACAATTTGGGAAAAATCAATAGCTGTGCAATAAGTTTATCTATGATAAACTTTTATAAGATATCCTGTCTATAATCAAAAACCAGACGCAAGTGAATCAAAGTTTGGTGACACGATCGAGGCGAGTCAGAGAGGCAACTTGTGTTTACACGCTGGAGTGATTTAGACAGGTATACTATGTTGACACACATAACTGCTTTAGAGTTCGTTATGTTGACGCACTGGTTTGTTTCGGACGGATATGTTAGCTAGACACCCTGAAGTGATTAGACAGGCACATTATGTTGACACGCTGGAATGATTTAAACAGGTAAGATATGTTGACATGCTGAATTGATTCAGACAGTACCTTATTCTGACACACTTATAAAAAAGACAGTTGAAAAATGACAAAAAGACAAGGCAATTGTTTCGCTATTTATTAATTAAAAATGATAATCAATGAATTTTAAACAAGAGGCCCAGGGGCCACATCGCTCACCTGAGCACTATGGCTAGGAAAAAGCAGAAATCAGTTCAGTCTTGAAAGGTTGAAAAGTTTAAATAAAAAAGGGGGGGAGGGGGGTCATGAATTGAACAAATTTGAATCTACATTATCTGAGGATGCTTCCATTTAAATATGACCAATCATGGCTTTGCTGTTCTTGAGTAGGAGATTTTTAAAGATTTAACCTATGTATTCCTATGTAAAACTTTGATCGCCCATTGTGGCCCCACTCGACCCCCGGGGGTCATGATTTGAACAAACTTGAACCTACACTACCTGAGGATGCTTCCATGTAAATATGACCAATCATGGCTTTGCTGTTCTTGAGAAGAAGATTTTTAAAGATTTTTCCTATATATTCCTATGTAAAACTTTGATCGCCCATTGTGGCCCCACCCGACCCCCGGGGGTCATGATTTGAACAAACTTGAACCTACACTATCTGAGGATGCTACCATATAAATATGACCAATCATGGCTTTGCTGTTCTTGAGAAGAAGATTTTTAAAGATTATTCCTATACAGTGCTCCCTCGGTATATTGCCAACTTTTGTCCAAGACAGATTTTGGCATTAGAGCGAGGGTGGCAATATAACGAGTTCTGTCATAAATTACAATGCAATAAGCCCAGTTCAAGATGAATACATAATTCATTTTAGTTAAAATCAAATGTCATGCTTTTGCGCGTGTGTACATACATATACACTCAAGCGCAACTTTCATTTCTTCCGGAAAAAAGTCATTAATGTATTTGTTTTTAAAATGAAATGAAAATGTCAAAATATTACGACATTTTTTCAATTTCCCGCTCATTCGCTCTTCTGTTGATCCTGGGTCGAAGAATTTAACAACCCGATGATAACGATGATAACGGTCTCAATAGCAGTTATAGTCTCTCGGTATACAAAAGTTTTTGAGGTTTATCGTCAATATCATCTGAATCGGAAGTAGATTATTTCACCATCTCAATAATACTCGAATGGAAAGTCACGTGCCAGGGCACATGAACCTGTTGTAATATACACGTATTCTCATGTTTGCTAGTACCTGAGTACTTTCTCTTCCTATTCTGTTTTGATATTCATCAATCAATCCATTAGGTGTCCAACAATTGATGACTGTTTCAGGGGTAACGGAATCCCAAGCTATTTTCACGTGCGGAATTATAGTAGTCTAAAAATAGAGATGGGATTTCCTTAGAATTTAGAATTTGGTTTTTTTTTTTATATATGGGGAATAAAATGATTTTTTCATTTATTATGGCCTGGTTCGGTGAAAGCAACAATCGGCGATTTACAGTTAAATAAAATGTACAATTATTTGTTTGGGTTTATTTTAAATTTTCGTTTGTAATCTAAATTTGTACGCTTTCTCTTCCCTGACTTTCCCATTATTGTGATGAAATAATACTTCTATCTTATAAAAACAACACAAAAGAAATTGCTAATTTTGAGTTTTATTAAACGATTATCTTTAATTTAGCTGAACTCCTTGTTCAGGCAGTCACGCTTCACCGCAACCACTGTCAAAGCACGGGTGTGACGTCCAAATTACCGACGCGCGCTAGATAATTGGCATTGTTACCGAGGGTTTTCCTTATATAATTTGACCTTTTGTTTCCCCAAACAAGTGGCGGATGGCAATAAGCGGGGGTGGCAATATAACGGGTGTATTAACACAGGGGGAAATCCGTTCTTGGAGAATTCCTGGCAATAAGCGGGGGTGGCAATATAACGGAGGGCAATATACCGAGGTAGCACTGTATATACCTTTGTAAAACTTTGATCGCCCATTGTGGCCCCATCCGACCCCCAGGGGTCATGATTTGAACAAACTTGAATGTACACTACCTCAGGATGCTTCCACATAAGTTTCATATTTTCAAGCACAGTGGTTCTTGAGAAGAAGATTTTTTAATGATGCCATTAATTTTTCACGAATTCTTAATTATCTCCCCTTGGAAGAAGGCGTGGCCCTTCATTTGAACAAACTTGAATTCCCTTTACCCAAGGATAATTTGTGGCAAGTTTGGTTGAAATTGGCCCAGTGGTTCTTGAGAAGAAGATGAAAATGTGAAAAGTTTACAACAACAACAACGACGACAACGACAACAACGACGACAGACAACGGACAAATTTTGATCAGAAATGCTCACTTGAGCCTTTGGCTCAGGTGAGCTAAAAAGTTATAATAATCTTGAAACAATGTGCATACTTTTCCTAGAAACTGTTTGTTGGAGTCATTATGCAATGCCAAATTCAAGTTATCTGAACGAATTAAGTAAACAAATGTCATGGAATTATTTCAACACATTCGTTTGTAGTTATTGCATTTGGCCCTTACATTTATATGATGTTGCTATGAATGATTCCCTAATTCAACAGATTGACATGCATAAAAGTAAGAAAAAATGCATATTATTTTGCTTAAGGTAAAATATAAATACAAAGTGCACACATGTATATATTATCTCAAATAACCAATAAGGATATGCTGCAAAATTATATGTATGAAAATACAAAAAAATCAAGTCATTTCTATTTATACACAATAGAAATTTTAATTCAACTCAAGAGGTCTAAGCCTGCTTCTCGTCATTCGGTACAGGTTCTTGTGGATGTTAATTATAAAGTCCCACTGAACTTAGAAATTTTCTCCAGTGAATGAAGGGAAAGGGGGATTTCTTCCACTCTGAAAGGTCCATTAAGGGCAATGAAGAACACTTAACACGGGGATTTCTGCAAAAAAGTAAAAATTTTGTTATTTTTGTAAAAGTATGCATAGATATACAAGAAAAACTTAATAATATTATTAAAGATCCTTTTAATCTAATTTAATATAGTCTGTTGTAGTTTGGATTGGTAAATGAATGTTGTGTTTAGAAGTGAAATAGGTGAAGATAAAGAACTGTGATCGATCTCAAAAAACCTAAAAACAATACAAATCAGTGAACGGGGGGAAAATACGCATCCCTGGAAATTCCAGAGGTGGGATAAACTGCCAAGGAGGATTAAGCATCCCGCTGTGAGCACTTTGCATTGTTTAAGAAGACGAGTAATCCGTTGTTAAACTTATTAAGAAGGAGTAATCTGTTGTTACATTTAGTTTAAAATCAAAAGGCCTAAGAATTGGAATGAAATATCTCTAAGAAAAATTAAACTTTACTCAAGAACGTTTTTATAAAATTTTTTTAGTCAAAATACGACAGAGTGATAGGTTGTATTTCAAATAGGATCATTATATCGACCATAGAATTTACAAAAGGCTGACTTCGATCGAGCTTGTTAAAATTCCTGTTACATCAACTTATCTGTCAATACCTCAAGAAATACAAATGAAGCTGGTTTCAATGTGACTCAGAGCTATTCAATATCAGATGGTTAGTTAATCTTTAACCCCACTCCCTACCCCCGCCGGCCATCCTCCGAAGTTCATTACATATGTTATAAATATGTATGAAATTGGTGAATTTATCAAAATCAGAAACTAAATTATCTATTATGAATCTTAAGTTTTCTAATACACAAACGCGCCTTCTTGGTGTATTTGCACTACACCAGTGTGCATTTGATCAATTTTACGTATAGAAATGCAGTAGTGGGATCTACCCCTGATACTTACTTTGATCCTACGAGGTTGAAAACTTCTTCCTGAATTGTATCCAGATTCAGCGTCTCACAAAGAATCTTAGATAACGTCATTTTTCTTATTTCTCTAAGTTGACCTACCAAAAATCATGTTTGTCAAATATTTAGCTGTAGATTTGCTTTGACATGCAGTTTACTTATTTATTAGCTGACATATTTACAAGTAAATGAGCAAAACACAAATAGGATTTATAAACAAACGAAAACTTCAAAAGTTTAACTTGGTTTAAAAATGTTTATCAAGTTGAGACAATACATTTTGGATGTAACAGTGCATTATATTTTTTCTATTTCCAAAAAGCACATGTTAACATTGTTCCATCTTTTTCTGTGTAGCTGTGGGATACTTACATTGTACATGCAAGATATGGTAACCTCAAAGAGTTCACGTTGCAACTGTATCCACGATATATTAATTCATATGTAGGAAACCGTATTTAATCATTTAGCAAAGATTGAATTAGTAGTCTTATTCGGCCCTATCTAATATTTATCCCAAATAAAATACTTGTGTATACCTCTAGAGAATCCCTCTATCCCCCGCTTTTCGTACCAATATCTGTCCCCAAACCTTAGGTCTCTGAACTGCCATCCTAGTAAACATTCGAAAAGTGGACCTACAACTGCGTCTGCGCGAGGTATTTCTGAAATACCTCCAACGAACACATCGATGTCATCAACGTGGCTGCAAATAGAAACACCTACATTCCTATGAACATTTCAATAGACATATTTCCTGAAGAGAAGTGAAGAGTTCTTCTTTTTCTCTTTCCAGAAGCTGTAGTTTATTTGATGTTCTAACTCAAATATTCAATATGCACTATTATTCTTAACAAATAGATTTGACTGGACATCGTTATAAGTATATAGAAACACTTACTCATAAACATTTTGCAATCTTGCAATCGTGTCAGAATTATGATCTTGTAATTCGGAAAAAGTGTTTGCTACCGGAAGTTTACACCACTTCCGCCATTCGTTGTAGGCAGGTAAACCGTGGTCCCGCCCTCTTTGAATGTTGAATGACATTAAGTCAAACGTTACTCCATTTATATCACGAAATAATTCATTTCTGGCGGCATTTTCAATTTGTCTGAAATAGTAAAGTAAAAACAGTTGACTCTAGAATTCATGTCTCCGATGTGTCCAAGCATGATTATTTACGAACTTTTGTAGAGCTTTGAATTAAAATTTATGTTTCAAAGAAAGGATATTTGTTCATTTACGTGATCTAATATTTTTTATAAACAAAATGTTAATATCTCAAAAAAGTCTTAATATATTGTTTCATTATTTGTTATTATTGTTTATCAATCCTAACGTCTGCATAAGAGTTAAAGTGAAGTAAAGTTGTGTACCTATCAATCTTTCTTGAGGGCGTGGCTAATAAAAACCGCGCCAAATCTGGAATGTTTTGTCCTTGTTGTGTAACAACTATATGGGGATCCATGAAGACATCTTCCGATTTAAATACTCTAGATGTGGCAAACATCCTCGTCATATAGCCTAGCTCTGGAGGAATCTGCAAAATGGAAAAAATTAGTTGTTCATTTTTTCGTACACAACAACAAAACATTATTTTATTTTAAAATAAATAACAATAAATAAACATAAAGAAAAGATCTTTAAGAAATTCGGAATTTCAGACATTATTCAATAACAAGGAACTTTGATTAAAACAAAAAAAATGGTGCATTCCACATCGTGCAGGACACAATTGCAAACATGCTTTTAAATGTTATTCTCAAAGTAATCATGAAGTTATCCAAACTTTAAGTTACCTGTGAGTGTCCATATCGAAGTGCTGCAGTAGCAATGACGTTCTTAACAGTGGGGTTCACCTTAGGATCATATTTATTCCAATAACCTTTTTGTCGAAGGTTTAGAGACATTTTTTTCCTAGTATCTTTCCCTAAAATAGCGGGAAGGTATTCCCCGTACGTCACTTGTTGCATAATGGCGCCCATAATCTTCTTTGTTTCCAAAAACACATCTTGACTAGATTGTCCAGTTAATTGGCGTAATTTGTTTGCTATGATATTGTGAAGGCGAAGGAATACGACATGGAGACCACCCAAAGAAGGGAATTCATTTGATCTTTCGTCACCTAGAAATTACATACATTTAGTGAAAGAAAGAACACTGCAGGCTTGGGGCGAATTACATTGTAAAGTAATGCATTACATTACAATTACTTCAAGAATTTGGGCATTAAATCACCTTTACCATTACTTTAAATTCTTAAAGTAATGCATTACATTACCATTACTTAGCATAGTAATGCATTACCATTACTTTTGAAGGTTTTCAAAAATAAAAGTAGAAAACTTTGCAACTATTTTCATAAACATGCATCCCACCCCTTTAAAATTGAACATGATGAATGATAATTCGAATTTAATTTCAAGTACCTGTATTTATTACATTGTACAGAAATAATTAACATATCCATTTATTATACAAAGGAAGTTCGAAATTTTCGACTGCCAATAAAATGAAAATATGTACAAATACACACTTTTTGTGTAACTATATAATTGATGCCATACAGCAATTAAACTTTTGGGGCAATTTACTCCCTCCCCAAAACTAAAACTAATCTTAATAAGACATAAATTAGAAAGATTATTTGGATCTAGTATACGTTAAAATATGACAAAATTTAAATGCATTGACAAACTTGTAAAAAGGGTTAGACAGAATGTACATTTTGCACTTCTAAAAGTAGAATGTCTGTCCTCTGTTCCTTTTGATGCAATGGATTTGTCATAGTCAGCTCAAGCTAGACCAGTTCAATTAATGTTTCATAAACACAGTCAGAAGAAAGGGGCTGGTTTTTGGAGTACTTCTCAAAACAATACATTGTTTTAATTGTTACACAACCTTAAAGGCATTTTGTGATTTGATGACACTCTAAAAAAACTCTTTAAAATATTCTTTGAAATTAAATCAGATCTAAAATAAGTATAAAAAATTATATGTATGGTATTTATACCTTCAACAAAATAAAAAATATATGTAAATAAATATAGAGAGTTTATTTAAAAAGGTTAACCTTTTTCATTCATTTCTATTATTTAAGAAAAAAAATTAATCTTAACAATTACTTCCATGTCCATTTTCATTTTTTTAAATAGATATATACAAAAGAATGCTTTGAAATGCTATGTCATGCCAGCATTACTCTTGATTTGAGAAAGTAATGCATTACATTACTATTACATGTAATGCATTTTTTTGGCATTACACATTACTAGCATTACTTCGAGTTCAAGTAATGCATTGCAATGCATTACCATTACATTTAGCATTACCCCAAGCCTGGTACATCGTGAAATGAAATAACATGTTACCTAATACTTGTTATACCGTATCATGAAAGGAAGTGAGAGCACTGTTTTTTTTTTTTTTTTTTTTTTTTTTTTTTTTTTTTTTTTGTTCGTTAGTTTGTTTGTTTTTTCTTATTTTTTTAGGAGTTAATTAATAGAAAATAACATTGTATTTGAAGTAGGGATGGTAATTCGAAGTATCCGTTGAAAACACAACCAGTTAAAGATTTTTTTTTTAATTTTAGATGCATCACAATATCAAGGCTGTGATGGATCTTATGAAAATCGCCCTTTAGAATTTGAATAAAGATCCGTTTCAATTCCTTACCAGCCAGTTGGCAGAAATCTTCTGTTTGAGATGTCTGACAGGCTCCTCCAGGAGGAAGTATGTCACCTGATGACGTCCTCATGGTTCCTGACAACAGGAAATGACGTCATATGATTAAAATATCAATAATATAAAATGACCAAAAGATTCATGCTGATCTTTTCAAATTTAATGTTAAAGGAAAGTTATGTTTTGATTTTTCAATAATATCATACCAACATGTCCATTAAGATTTTCATTAAATCGTTTAGAGTCTCCATATAACATTCCTGCATCAATAAAGGAAGATAGTCGGTTCACCTGTTGCCTAGGGCCTATAAGGAATGCAGAAACAGTAAGTTATTTTACAAAGGTTCAGAAAATATCTATAATCAATACACATATTATTGTGAATGCCGTTATTCTCTTCTCTTTTTAATTATTCAATATAACAATATCATGGGTTGTATGGCTATTGCAGCTATTCATAAGGATATTTCTTTAAATTTATAAAACTTTTTTAATCTCAGTTAAGTACCTATGCTGCAGCCTTCGTCATGTGGAGTCGGTATTGAGCGAGAAAAATCCATACATGTTCTGCTTGGAAATCGAGCATCGCCTGTTGGGATTTCTATCACATAACACTCAGAGCTATAAAAGGAAATAAAATATTTAGTTTACTTTGAGATATCTAAGAATAAAAATCTACATTAACAAGATGCCCAAGGAACGGTCACCTGAGTATAATACAACAATTTAGAGGATCTTTAGAAGTATAAGATAAACTGATAGATGGTTTTGTTACCCAAAGCAAAAGAAATAGGATGAGCAGGATCGACAATTTAAGATGATTTTTTGTCAAGACGAAAAACAGGATGAATCTACACCATTCAGTCATTTAATGCTTCTTTCTTTTTGTTTTCGTTGTTCCTGTGTGTATGTGTGTGTCTTGCAATAGTTTCATGTGAACAAAGTTTAACGAATCAACTTACTCCGAAGCATCGACTCCACAACAATCAAGAGGACTTCCATTTTCTCCTATAAAAACAATTATCATGAATTAAACGTATACAGGTTCAGACAATTCAAATCTTTCCACTTTTTTGGATGAGAAAAAATTAACTGCAACGATATTCTCTGGTGTATACTTGTAAAAAAAATTTTTATGCATTTTAAATTTGATCTGATTTAATATGAAGAACAGATTACATTTCTTTTGAATGATAAGTATGGATCAAAATTATAATTTACTAGAAGACCAATAAATTTGAGAATTAAGAGTAATGTTTCATTATTCACCAATAACAATGGGCGTAAAAGTCAAGTCGTGGTCTATAAATTGACCGAAGGTGAACAACATCAAATTCCGCTTGCTGTCTGGAGGTGTCAACATATCTCCGGCCAATACTTTGTTACTGATCTCTCTTGGACTTGGAAGTGTGCCTCCATTTCTACCTCTTTGACGCGGACTGGTGTACTCTATTCAAATAAAAAAAATGGCTATGGTCAGCTTTCAATCTTTGGTGACATATAAAATGTCGGGTTTACAATCTAGTTTTAGTTAAAAAGTTGAAAGGAATGGACCTTTTTTTTAAAAAAAAAAATGCAAATCGTAATATTGTCTTATCAATAAATATATTCTGCATTTACAACAAATACGATAAGAATATGGTGTTCTTACCATCATCATAGATGGGTTTTAAATACCGCGCATGGGCCTGCAGTGCCATACCCCATGTTGGATTGCGGAGATTATTGCATAAGCCGTCAGCACTTCGATATCTTGAATTCTTGTATTTTTTACATGAGGTAGGGACTGTATCACACAGTTGAGCCCGGAGAGATCTTTGATACTCATCGCTACTCTCTAAATCTCGAAATGTTTTCCCGGATCTGAAACATTTTGTTATTGTTACATATTTTAGCACATACTAGTACATATACATGAAAGAAAGATAGAAGCAAGTACTATCTTTGTGCTAACGAAGGAAACACAGTATGACTATATGTAAGACTCTAAACTTTGTGACATTTAATGTAGCTGGCGGGTTTACTGTCTGGCTTAAAACACAAACTGAAATTTTGTCAGCTAGATCCATTCGTTTCAAAATTTTATTTCTTTTTTGAGATTAGTCTGCATGGTTATGTTCTAATTGTATTTCAATTGCACCAATGTTGCTGAACACAGCTAATGCTATTTCATTGAAGCACATAGTAAAACACTTTTTACGCCGGTAAACGCAGTTTAAAAATATGCTCATAATTTTAAAAACAAAGAAAAATTTTATCATACTTAGCGCAGTTAAAGTGAAGATCATTTAGAATCAATCCATAAAAATATACTAATATGTGTTCTACCTCAATTTTTTGGCAAAAGTCCTCTTATTTTTGCAATCTTTCATCAAATATATTATATTTTCGTAATATTATTTTACGCGACGTCATTATTTTCTAATGTCTGAAATATTGTTCAACAAATAACTAAAAATAAAGCATGCAATCCGATATTTCAATTTTTTATTGAGAATACATTTAATGCATACTTTGCCAAAGGCATGAAATTATTTCTACTGACATTTTATGAAACATAGAGAAGATATTTATTTTAAATCTCAAGCAATGCGGAGATAATTGGAAAACAAATCATATAATAGAAAAATAGCATGAAATTGGTTTCGATTGTACTTGCAAACCGATTCTAAATTATTTTAATCTGTTTCAAAAAGTGCCAATTTTTTTATTGTAATTGTAAGAAAGTAGCATCGATCTCAATTGATATGAATTAAGGTAGCTCAGTGAACATGGAAACTTATATCGGTATTGCATTTCACGTGTATTTTGAAAAAATAGTATTCATTTTAGCTTCGCATTTTCCAACATAAGGAAAACTTTAAATTTAATTATACGATCTATTTTTGATTACGTTTAAATAAATATTTGTACAGAACACAAAAAGCTTTAATGAAAGTTTTGATTTATACTGCTAAAGATGTTTTGTAGCGGTTTGTAGTTTGATATTGTAAACACGGTAGCTTTTATACGTCGAATTCTATTGTGACGTCAGCAAATCCGCAAGTACCTCAGATATTATTGTTAATGTAATTCATATACGGTACTAATTTTGATGCACCAGATGTGCATTTCTAAAAATTATGTCTCTTCAGTGATGCTCATACCGAAGCGTTGGAAATCGAAAATAATTAAATAAAAAAACTTTGAAGAGCTGAAAAAAGGTGCCAAAGACTGGAGCCAAATACGTCGAAGGATCAGAGCCATGCCTGAGGGAGATAATCCTTAATTTTGAAATAAATTTCAAAATTTTACCACAGCAATTAAATGTATATGCGTCTTTTCAAGCTAGTACCAAAGTACGTAGCTACTGGGCTGTAGAGACCCTTGGGGACTAACAGTCCACCAGCAGAGGCCTCGACCCAGGGGTCATATTGTAAATCATATGCGGTACCAATTTTGATGCACCAGATGTGCTTTTCGATAAATTATGTCTCTTCAGTGATGCCTATGCAAAACGTTGGAAATCCAAAATATTTTAAGTTAACAATAATTTAAAATATATAGTTAACTATAATACTAGTAACTTTAGTGAATCATAGGTTGAAGTTTTTACTAAGTAAATCAAAGCAAAAATGTTTTACTGTAATAATATGAGTATTTTTACTATGGAGTTGAAATTCTGTTTTTTTATATCCCCAGAAGCAAGCGACTTGCATATTTGTATATTATTTACGAAATTACCACAATGTGTTTGCAGTTTAAAACTTAATAAAAACTTCAGATCAAAAACTAAAGATCGTACTTCCAAAACCAACCTAACTGAAAAAAGATACCTAACGAGAATCTTCTTTTAATTGAACTGAAATGTGACTTATTATATATGCATAAGCGTGTTACTATTTCTGAAATTACATTTAAAAAGCATTTTTTTCTATTGAAAGAATTTCTAAATAGTGCTATTGTAGCAATACGGTCAAAATTTTTAAAAATCTTAAAAAGTCTAATATTTGCTCTAGTCTCCTCAAACCTAAATTAGTCTATACCATGTATGTAAAAATATGTCACAAAGTACCTTTGGATGAGATTTTTTATCATACTCATATATTTGTACCCCGCCCTCGCTATCCTGTCTTCGTCTTCCTTCTGTTTCTGGAGAAAAGCAAAGCTGTTGCCGGTATCAGGAATATCTAAAGAGAAGAAAAGGAAACAAATTATCAATGAAGCTTCAGAAAGATCTCATGTTAATCTTTCGTGTTTTTAATAGCTTTATTGTGATTAACTAATTAGTTTTACAGTGGATTTTTTTTTATCTTCTTGCAATACAAAATGGGTCAACAAAAATGAAGTGAATAATGAATTTTTTTAAATGCAAAACTTCCTTAAAAATTTACGTTATGAAAATTACAAACTTATTCAAATAATAATAAATGCTATCTGTATGAAACGTACTGCCATCTCCTTCTCCGAATTTACGTTGAGGATCTCTGTATGTGTCTTGAATAGCGTCAGCAATGACGTCATCAACCTCTACACCACACTCCACATAAAAGTTTGAGAGATACGCGAACAGCAGAAATATATGCATGAAAACCATGTTGACAATTAAACCTTTTTTTTGAAATAAAAGAAAATCATTTAATTCTATTCACTTATACTTATAACAATTAATTTACTTGCAATGATAAGAAATACTTCTTGCAGATTACTAATGCTACATTTACATGATATTTGTAAGGACAGTAGTTTGTTGATCAAACAATTCTCAAACATTTCTCAAAAAAGTTTTGCTCTTTAAAAAAATTAAATTCGGAGATAAATTTTGTTGCACGTTTAGATTCATGTAAATAAAATAAAAAATTGCAGTTAAAATTGTTTCCAGAATTTTTCCGGTAAGTCCCTCAATATTTCAAACAACAAATATAAATTAAAGATAACATCAGAAAAAACTATTAAATATGTACATCCACAGAATAAAGTCAAAATTAAAGTAGAATTTACAACATTTGTTAAAATACAAGAGTTTTTGCAGACTTTTTCTTACACATTGTTCAACCAAATTTAAGTGTCGCTGATTGGTGAGTTTGCAAAATAACGAATACAGATAAACTACTAAATACATAATAAATAATGTTATTAGACATAATAATAATTTAAAATCATTTACTGAATAAGGCATTTTAAATAAAAAAATGAAAATGTGAATTATGTCCTTACCTTTAAAGTTCTGATTGATCTGATGGAAAAAATTGATCCCGTATTTTATAGATTGAAAAATATTCATTTAATGGGTTTTCCACACAAACAGATATTTTATTGCATCAACAGTACACTTTCAACAACAGATCTTATCAACAGAATATCGTTCATGCATATGAGTAGACAATCTTATAACAATGATAACAATAAAGATAGATGGGTTTTTAAACATAAAAACCTACCGAACCGGGTTTTCATGTCCTGTTATTCAGGATCAAGATAAGTAAATTTTCAAATATCTTAAAAGCAATTTTTGAAATTGTTTTTCAATGTGCATAACAGAAAAAAATGAACTGCAAGTACTATGCATGTATAATTAATTTCATTGTACATACACAAATGTCTCTTCAATTTAGTCAATAACTATCAATTTTCTTTATGAGATTCTTTGCCGAAATATGGCACTTTGTGGTTTTTCATTAAAATAAAAGATAAATTAAGTTAGAATATAATATGAATTGGTCTGGAAGAATAAATAAAAGTGATTTATTTACAAACAAAAACTTTTAAATCCTGTTTTATCAATATAAAAATCAACTCAACATGTTGCAAATATGATAAGCTAGTGAAAGATATTTTTCGTGTTTTGTGTGACCGAGCACTTTGGGTATAAAACATACATCTAGGATAAAATGAGAAAAATCGTGTTTCAATCCGGAAGGGGCGATTGTAAAAGTGTTGCTAAAATTTACCCAGAATACTTATTTATAAAATTGACTGTACTTTGGAAACAATTGATTAAAAGATTCTTTGAAATCTATTGATGCAAGATAATGTAACGTTATATAATTCTAAAAGACTAGGATGTTTAGTAGACAGTTAGCGGCTGAGTTGTGCCATGACAGCAACGCTGGGCAGCGCTCTCGTCCACTATATGCCAGAGCCTCTCCACTTTGTTCATAGATTGTTATAGCCGTTTATTTGAAGTTCCGCCATATTCATTAAAAATGTTTGGGTGCACAATTTAGCCGGTCTTAGTTTACCACAATTCACATATCGTCATTCAAACATGTATTTGTTGCATTTTCTCCAAAATAACAGTTTCAATATTTTCCTTTCTTCTGAAATCGATATGTACATAAGTTTGAAATATACTATAACTTATTACATATTAATTTATATTCTGAATAGGGATAAAGTGAAATTTGGACTAGACTTGAATTTAACTACTATCAAATGCATGGTAGAGATGAATTTAATCTTGATAAATTCATAGGTTTTTGTACATTGAAAGTGAAAAAGATTATAGTTTCTTTAAATTAGTAATACTGAATTCTTTGGATTTACGTTTCCAGTTTTCTCCAATAGATAGATAAATAATCAAATAAAGCTACATGACAAAGTCATTAAGACCAGTTGTTCGATTCCATTAGGTGGCATTTCAATTATGTTTTAAGGACAGATGATACAAACAACTTTTTATCAAAAATCTTGAAAATAACAACTGAATTCATGTTTATATAAGTAAATTGAATAAGTTTAACCGCATAGATTTTTATTTTTCTTTTAAAATTTCACAATAATTGGATTTAAAGTGACAAAAATTTGTATAGATTAATAAGGATAGTTGCAAAAAGGTGGATTTTTGAACATAGTAGAAAGTTTACAATTTCTTATTATTTCAGAAATTTATTGGTCACATCATTTACGACCAAAATAGGTAAAAAAAAATATATATATACCAATCCAGGCATCCATTTTTTCGTTTGTATCATCTGTCCTTAAACAAGAATAACTAACTCAAGATAATGGCGTGCAAAATGCCTATCAATAGCTCTAACTGGCCACGAACGATTGTAAATGATTTGATTTTCAGACTTCATAGTTATTCAATCAATTTGCAATGACATTAATAAACTTAACATATTCAGAGTTTATTTATGTCCAAAAAAATCAGTTTCTGTGCATCATATCTTTTCCTACAAAATAAACCCTAAATAATGAAATTATCACTTATCTCGGAATTTCAATGTAAAAAAATTCAGAGAGCATGTTTTCTTATAAGATTTAAAGTTTGATAAACAAAAAATGGTGAGTTTTGTCCTAATATAATCAATAAATTATTCAACCTGATCAACTTATAGTGCAAAGACAGTAAGAGCATATCAGTGTTAATACTGTCATATGTAACTTTCAAAGGTATTATTCATTTATCAGGACCGACAATGCTAAGCAAGAATGCATCACAAATGAGTTTCAGACTCACTGTCACCTAACGTGTAAGAAACTAACTGTATTAAATTTAATGAAAACGGATTTTAAAGTATATTAAAACAAATTTTCAAGGATATATTGACCGTTCACGGTAGCTCAGTCGGTAGAGCGCTCGCTTCGTGATCGGGAGGTCGTGAGTTCGAATCTCGGCCGCGACAGACCTAAGTCGATAAAAAATGGGTAGCAACTGTTCCTTCGCCATGCGCTCGGCACTTTGAAGTGAAAGTTGCGGGTCCTTCGGATGAGACCTTAAAAACCGAGGCCCCGTGTCACGGCAGGCGTTGGCACGATAAAGATCCCTCACTGCTCAATGGCCCTGAGTGCCGAGTAAAGGTAAAAATTTGAAGCCCTTCACCGGTACATGGTGACGTCTCTATATGAGTGAAAAATTCTCGAATGGGAAGTTAAACAACATACAATCAATCAATCAAGGATATATTGTGGCCACAGACTCGGCATAAATATGTGCAACTTGAAATAAACTACTACTAGAATAATTTTAACAAAATATGTTTGCATAGAAGTTTTATAAGTTTAAAAACAATATACGTAGAAATAGTTTGAGATAAAGTACCCCTTTATTACAGTTAGATTAAAAAAAACCCCTGAAATTAAGTATTGAAAATGGAGTTTTACAGGTATACTCGCTTATTCACAAGGAAATATTAAAAAAATTCTATTGTAAAAGGCTAAAATAATGTTCACATGTGTGTTTTGGACAGGGAAATACTATACCTTGACATTGTGGAACATTGTATTTAACTCCTTAGAAATTCTGGAAAACATGAGTTCCCTCTATTTTCCCCTTTCAGTATTCATGCGTGTCGGTGAGATTTTAGTGATAGATATGATGCATTTGGTTGATATTCGATATCTCCCTTCATATCAGCACGTAATATACATGGTGTAGCGCAAAGTACAAGGAATAATGATAAATATGCTGATCACTATCTTTGAAAAAGACAGCCAATCAAAAAATACGAAAAATGTAGTGGGAATTTATGTGACGGGAATTCCTGGAGAAGGAAATTTTGGCGAATGTACGTATAATTTTTGATAAATTTTAATCAATTAATGATCCAAACTTTTATTATTATTATTAATATTATTATAATTATTATTATTATTTTTCTATGAAACACTTTTCTTTTTATGCGCACGTGAAATTATTTAAATGAGTTACATGTAGAAAGTCATTTATTTTCAGAAAACAAATCAGTTTCAATTACATTTAACCTGCATTTCCAGGCCAATGACATTATTTTCGCTTGGTCAAAAATTTGCGATTATTATATTTCGTTTTGTCCAGAATAAGAAATATATGCAGATGTGCATTCGACATTCCTTTATTTTCTTTGACAATCATACCAGGAGCATTGAATTACAAACATGGGCTTATAGACAAGAATGACCAATACACGAAACGCGTACATTTAATAATATTAATCTTCAGCCTTACTTGACTTACCAAATTATATGAAAAGTATTTCAATCTTCACGGCTTTTTCAATTATTTTGCAATTGTTTTTCATTATCTTAGATAACATTTGTATTCACAGAGTTTATCTATGTCCAGTAGAAAAAAATAATTTTCTATACTATTGCATGACAAACGTTGCAATATTTGTATTGTTGAATTTTCTTTTTGCTTTGTATAATTTTGAATATGTATTGTATAATTTTTATTTGTATTCTATAATTTTCCATTTGTGTTTGATGTTTGATTTTTTTTTAAATTTCTATAGAATTTTTTTTTTCATTTGTCTTGTATGATTTTTCATCTGTATTGTATAATTTTTCAGTTGTATTCTGCATTGTATTTTTCCATTTGTAATTCTATAATTTTCCATTTGTATTCTATAATTTTCCAATTGTATTCTATAATTTTCCAATTGTATTCCATAAATTTCCAATTGTATTGCGTAATTTTCTTGACAGAAAAATACAATACAAATGGAAAATTATAGAATACAAAACAAAAAATTATTGATTACAAATAAAAATTGTACAATAAAAACGAAATAATTATAATACGAGGGGTGATCAAAAAGTTCGTGAACTATCTCTATATTTACAAACCACAATTCAGATCAGAATGACATTTACCACATACATAGCCAAAAA